TTCTCCACAAGGGGAGGTGCACCGTTCCTAGAAGCACTGCAATACCGGGGTGATGCGTGGAGTAGACGGAGCAAGCTCCTATTCCATCTCCCTGCTCCAAAAATCCATTTAATGCGGAGTTCTTAGAGAACGTGTCAGATAATAAACTGATCAGAGCATTTATTAAAGCTAATGTTAAAATTACATTATACACAGCTTAAGGGAAGAGTGTCGGTATATCTGGGATTGCTGCTCCAGAGGGCTCTGCCAGCCCCAGAACCGGCTTCCTCGCCCGGGCAGCTCTTACGGGCTGCGAGCCGTCGAAGGGCAGTGGGGAGCTGAGGAGCATCTGCAGCCCTGGGGCCCCAGTCACCAGCAGCAGGAGCAGACAGGGAGCGCCAAGGCCGCCGGTACCATGGCACCAGCCAGAACAGCAGCCCCCGGCACTGCCCGGCTCCGCCTCTGACCTGCCCAAGGGGCGGGGCCGCAGGGGGGGAAAGGAGGAGGCGGGGCTGACACTTGCTGGAGGAGGAGCAGTGTGCAGGGTCACAGGGAGGGGCGGGGCCCAGGACCCTGCGCTCTGCAATAAAAATTTTAAAATTCTGTGCACAATATTTTCAAATTCTGCAAAATTCTGCATATTTTATTTTTCAAAATAACACAATATAATCACTCCAGTTTCAATTATTTTTGGTCATTTATTTCAAAATATCAGTCAGCAAGTGTCCGTAACAATACAGACAACAAAAACGATTCAGGAAATGTTTTTTGACAAATAGATTTCTTACTAGGCATATTAATACAGAACTCTGAGTAGTAATTCATTTAAACTACAATACAGAACCGTATTTCCCACACCCCTCAGAAGCAGTGCAAAGGCTGGGGGGAGTCGGGGTAATGGAGGAGCTGAGGGAGAGGGAAGTAATTCCTGGGAAGGAGCCTGGGTGTGAACTTGGAGGATTGTTGGGTCTGGGTGGGAAAAGTATGGAACAAGTTTTTTGGGGGGGAGCAGGGAGGGATTGTTAGTGAACTTCCCCCATGCAGACCCCGATTGACCCCCTAGCCTCTCCCATTCAGTCAGGCACATCTGCCTCCGTCCCCACATGGCCCTCCACACCCACTCTGACACCCCCACTTTCCCCATCCCCCATGTGGCCCTGCATCTCCCTCCCCCCTGTGGCCCTAGGCTGCCACTCCCATTCAGCCCCTGCCCCAGTCTGTTCTCCCCCATTAGCCCCTATGAGCCCCTGTCTGACCCCCCAGCACCCCACGCTGTCTGTCTCCCCATAGCCCCTGTCTGACCCCCCAGCACCCCACGCTGTCTGTCTCCCCATAGTCCCTGCCCCAGTCTGTTCTTCCCCATTAGCCCCTATGAGCCCCTGTCTGACCCCCCAGCACCCCACGCTGTCTGTCTCCCCATAGCCCCTGTCTGAC